AGCAGCTAAGATGATCCAAGGCCTGGAGACCAAAACATACGAAGAACGGCTGCGGGACTTGGGTTTGGTTAATCTAAAGAAAAGAAGAAATAGGGGAGACATGATAGCAGCGTTCCAGTATTTGAGGGGCTGCCACAAGGAAGAGGGGGTCACGTTATTCTCCAAAGCACCTGAAGGCAGGACAAGAAACAATGATTGGAAACTGATCAAGGAAAGCAACCTGGAATTAAGGAGAAACTTCCTGACAGTGAGGACAATCAACCAGTGGAACTGCTTGCCACCAGAAGTGGTGGGTGCTCCATCACTGGAGATTTTTAAGAAGAGACTAGATAGACAATCACCTGTCTGAGATGGTATTGGTTCTCCTGCTTGAGCAGGGGGCTGGACTAGAAGACCTCCAAGATCCCTTCCAGATTCTATTCTATTCTATTCTATTCTATTCTATTCCTTTTCTCTATTCTATTCTATTCTATTCTATTCTGTTCTGTTCTCTGTTCTATATTCTATTCTATTCTATTCTGTTCTATTCTATTCTATTCCTTTTCTCTATTCTATTCTATTCCTTTTCTCTATTCTATTCTGTTCTGTTCTCTGTTCTGTTCTATATTCTATTCTATTCTATTCTATTCTATTCTATTATTCTATTGTTCTGTTCTGTTCTGTTATTTCTATTGTATTCTACCAATGGTTTTAAAAATGGTTTACAACCAGACCACAGGGGTTCACCGTATTTATTATTAAACCTCCCCATCCTGGAAGCCACGTGGCCAACAGGCTGAGGGTGTTTTGACGTCCAACAAGAAGGAGAAGGCACCTCTGCCCGCTCGTGGAGTTCTTCTCTCTTCTTTCCCTCTAACTTAGCACTGCTCAAGATCCGTCTCTTTGGGTTTTTTTAAAAAAAAAAATGGAAGAGGCTCAGAGCGATGAATCATTTTCCTGGCTTCCTGGGGGGAAAAAAGAAAAGAAATCCAGGAAGCCAAAACCGAATGCAACAGTCTCTCAGATGGGGTGTGGTGGCTCAAAGCTGCTCCTTAGAAATTCTGCTTTTTCTCTTATTGAGACATTTTTAGTCCCAGTTTGGTGGGTTAAGAAAAAAAAAACCCAAGAGTTTTCCGCAAAAGCAACAGGTTTCCGGATCCTGCTATTAAAAAAAAAAAAAAAAAAACCCAACGAAGCAAGTTCAAGCAGTCTGGGGCAAACTTTCCCCAACCAGGCGCCCTCTGTATTTTTGGGACTACAACTCCCATCCTCCTCCACCCACCATGAGTTGCAGAGCACTAGGTTGAGAAGGATGGAGCCAGAGGAGTGGAGGCAGGAGGGGGGGGAGAGAAAAGGTTCCTGGTCATGTTATGACAAGGATGGGCAACTTTACCAGCTGTGGACTTCAACTCCCAGAATTCCTGAGGCAGCCATGTCGGAGTTGAGTCTACAGGTGGTAAAGTGTGCAGAGTTGCCCCTGCGTGGTGCCACTGCGAGTATCTTTTGGGTTTTTCCGTCAATGCATCACTTGCCCTGGGCTAAAAAAAAGGGCACTAGCAAAATTTGCGCAGAGGAACCTGGATTTAGCTTGCTTCTTACACAGGAAGTGTAGTCCCTAGCATCAGGGTTTGAACCTGGCTAATATTTGGATGGGGTACTATAAGGAAACCCAATTTTTAAGGTAGACTGGGAAGAAAAAATATATGTATTTATTCCCCTGAAAGAAAGCAGTGGCAAGTATTTTTTGAAATGCTGCAAAATACTCTACAGATATATCTACAGGTAATGGACCCTGACTATTAGGGTCATTAAGTTGTGACAGTTGTAAAGTGGGTCACCCACATGACCGGCCCAATTTTACAACCTCGTTTGGGGCAGTCATTAAAGTGAGCAGAGGTTAAGCTGAGGATTACGTGCCTCAGTTCATGAGGTCAAAATGAATTCAGTACAGGTAGTCCTCGACTTACAACAGTTCATTTAGTGACTGTTTGAAGTCACATCAACTTTGAAAAAAGTGACTTATGACCGTTTTTCATACTTAAGACCGTTGCAGCATCCCCATGGTCATGTGATCAAAATTCAATTGCTTGGCAACTGACTTGTACTTATGACTGTTCAGTGTCCTGGAGTCATGTGATCCCCTTTTGCTAATACAGATAGTCCTTGACATAATCATTCGTTTAGTGACCATTCAAAGCACTGAAAAAAGTGACTTATGACTGTTTTTCACACTTACGGCCGTTGCGGCATCCCCAGGGTCACGTGATCAAAATTCAATTGCTTGGCAAACTGATTCACATTTATGACGTTGCCGTGTCTCCCGGGGTCACGCAATCCCCTTTTGCGACCTTCTGACAAGCCAAGTCAATGGGGGGGAGAGCCAGATTCACTTAACAACCGTGTTACTAATTTAACAACAGCAATGATTCACTTAACAACGATGGCAAGACAGGTCCTAAAATGGAGCAGAATTCATTTAACAACGACGATTCCTTAGCAACAGAAATTTTGAGCTCAACTGTGGTCGTAGGTCGAGAACTACCCGTAACTGGCGCAGTGTTTCCCATCCTGAGCAACTTTTAACTCCCAGAATTGCACACTGGCTTGGGAATTCTGGGAGTTGAAGTCCATCCCTCCTCCTTCAAGTTTCTAGGTTTGAGAAACACCCATCTCGTCCAAGCCACGTCCTATTGTGGCTCTTCTTTGCAGTGTGGGTGGATTGCAAACACAACAGGAAGCCACAAACAATGGCCGGGGCCTGTGTAAAGGATGCAGTTTGTGTACTCCAGAGGTGGGGAAAAAATGTGAACTGGGGCAAGGAGGGGGCAGCTCACCAAACTGGGGGGTCCTTAAAGCTGAGTTGGTCTCAATTGCTGGGATCGCAGACGAGAACGGAGAACGTAACAGCACCTCTGAGCATGCACGGAGTAGATTTCTAGGCCACAAGCTCGACTTTCCCACTCTGAAAAGCAGGGAATGGAGCAGGATTAAACTAAAATGAAAATAAAATATGAAATGAGCTCAGGAGAAAACCGATCCACCCACCCCCCCCTTGAGTCGTGGCAGTTCAGCTGCTTCATTCTGGAAAAGCCACAATCACTGGCGCACAGATTTTTACAATCCGGAAATTGGGCCTGATTTTTAAATGAAATCCAGGTCACCGCCATTGTCTTTGCGGTCCTGTCACTTTGCAAGCTCTGAATTCACAGCTGGGACTGGAACACACTCCGGCCCTTTGTTCAAGAGACGGTCTCGCCTCCCACTTTGGCTGCCAGGGACCGTGGGGGAAAAAAATGGCCAAAATACTCATTAACCATCCAACATTTGCCTTCTTCCTTCAAAGGATGGGAAGAACGAGAAGCAAACATTTTGCAACCCATTATCCTCTACCCAAATCCTCCGGGGTTTATTTCAAGCCTTTAAAAAAACCCAAATAATAAGAATACTATTAGAAAAAACAGTATGCAATTAAATTATTCAGCCCAGGTAACTTGGCTAGGGGCAGTAGAACAGTCATAAAATCCAGCCAATGCAACATGGCCAGGTTTAAAAAAAAAAAAAGACCTCCAACAAATGTTGTATACAGCACATTCCTAGCTAACTATTTCTTATCAGTGTGCAACAGAGGAGAGAGGGGGGTGCATCAGCCCCCCATAAAGGAAGCTAACATCTATCATGCAACACAATCTATCCGGCTGGCTTAACTGGGGCGGGTTCACAAACACTTGCAAAGCCGCCCCTTTGCCAAATAAACCACACCAGGTGTCTTGTCCTAAGCCTTAAATCAGAGCTTAAATCAATAGCTCCTCTGACATGCTAAAATCAAAGACAAATAAAACCCATGGGGTGGGGGCAATTCACACCTCCTAGCCCCCTATTCTAGGTTTATGCTAAAGGTTTTCAGCAGCAACATGCCAGAAGCAAAAGGAAGGTGCATCCAGAAGAATCCCACCCACCCACCCACCCCCTTACATTTCTGACCAGGTCATCTCTTTCTTGCAAGTTTCCATTGCAAAAAAAATAAAATAAAATATACATTTGCAACACAAGTCTCTATAGTTTTATGTTTAGGGTCCTTGCCCAAAGCTCGGATCCTCAGAATTGGAAGCTGGACTGGCCGTTCCTGTTTTTAAAAAGAAATCAAGTTCCTGGTCCTCATGATTCCCAATTAGGCAGATTGGAAACCCAGGCATTTGGACAAGAAAAAAGTCTCAGCCACTGATGTTAGTACCGCAGGGGAGCAAAGAAGGATTGGCACCCCAGAGACAAGGGACGGGCCTGAATCTTGTAGATAGGCAGCCAAGTCTTTCTTTTCCTCTAAATATCAAAGAGTTTCAGAGGCATCTCCCTGCAAGAACAGGTAAATTTGATAAACTCAAATTTTTTACCCAGTAGAGGCCTGCGTTCTGAAGAACAGCCCAAGCAAATCCTCTCTTTTTTCTCCCAGGAAACATCTTCCACAAATTTTTTCAGCTCAGAGTTGCAGGTCATTGGCCGAATAAATAAATACACTTCCATTTCAATTTTCAGGTCAATTTCCCCAAATCTGGCCCCAATTCCAGATGTTGGTCTCGTCCTCCACGCGGGCCAAAAATTCTGGAAATCAGTGGGGGCCCCCCCTAAATTAGAGGAAAAATGCCCCCATATCCTTGCCAGGTGGGGGAAAGACAAGCTGGAAGACGGAGAGGCATTTTCAGATAATCCAGGTGATGTTCCAGTTCATCTGAACCCTCCCTGAGTCTTTCCCAATGCTTTTTTTTTCAAATGTCAATTTTTCAAATTGGATTTACTGCTGTTTGCAGCCGGGACTGTCCACTCCGAAGCAGCCGCCTGCATTTCGTCCCTGCAGCCGTCTCTTTCTGGAAAGGCCAAAGGAATTTTTATAGATTTCTCGGAAAAAGTCCAAGAGCTCCAGTGGAAAGCTGAAAACAGGCTGGATCGTTCCAGATATAAACCACGATGCCTTTTCCAATCCATACAATTCCAGCCGTCCTTTCCCGATGCCGTTTCCCAGGTCCGGCTCAGATCGCAATATGGAAAGAGTCCTTAAGCCACTGATCCCGGGAGTTTTGGGGTTGAAGGAAGCGCAGTTGCTGGGCCGGAGGTGGTTCCCGGTGCCCGTCCGGACTTAACGGGTCCAGGTCGAAATATTCCTCCTCATCGGAGAAGCCGTTTTCGGCAGCCAGGCTGCCTTCCGAGTGGAGCGAGGATGACATATCCTGGAAGAGGCTTTTGAATTCCTGGATGGATTCATACAGAGACCAGAGTTGGCAAAGAAGGGACATGTCCAGTTGTCGGAGCCCCACCTGGAACAGAGGAGAAAAGCCGAAGGATGAGCTCCGGAGCTGCCAGGATTCGAACCAGCAGCCGATTAAGGTGGAAAGCCCTGCCTCAAGTCAATACCTGCAGCTTCTAGTGTTTTGCAATCTTGGCAACTTAAGGTAGGTGGGCTTCAGTTCCCAGAATAACCCAGCCAGCGTGCTTTGAGATGAATGGAGTTCAATTCAAAGAATTCCCCAGCCAGCATGCTGTAGGATAGGTGGGCTTCTACTCCCAGAATTCCCCTGCCAGTATGCTTTGAGATGGATGGACTTCAACTCCCAGAATTCCCCAGCCAGCATGCTTTAAGATGGATGAACCAAAGAAAAAAAGAAAGAAAGAAAGAAAGAAAGAAAGAAAGAAAGAAAGAAAGAAAGAAAGAAAGAAAGAAAGGAAGGATATAAAATTGGAGGTGGTTTTGTCAGCAGCAAATGGGACAACTGGGGAATTCTGGGAGTTGAAGAAACTCAAGTCCTTGGACACCCTTGATTTAGAATAAAAATCGATTTAGAATAAAATCAGCCAAACGGCCCCAGCTCTGAAAACCGGCACATTTAAATTAATTCCGAGGGAGTCTGCTGCCCTCTGGTGGAAACAAACCTGTACTGTATAAGCTTTACACACACCGTCAAGAACCGTCAATTTTAAAGGCCTTCCTAAATTCGATCATAGGACATACCTTTCTCCAAACTATCTTTATGCCTCATAGTTGCAGCAACCTCCTAAAACCTATCAGAAGTGCGGTACACCGAAAATGAATGGATTCACACAACCACGCCAAACTCGGGTTTATCAAAACTCAACGGCTGCTTTTGCAGAAGGTGAGGCTGAAGTAAGGTCACCCACATGCTGGTTTATCACCATGGCCTAGACTGGATCCTCCCCAATCCCTTGAATATGGATGACCTGACCATCAGGCTAGACAAAGCCGGTTGTGGGAACACAGCCATCCTGCAGTTAGACAATCAAGTTTATTCTATTTTTATTTATATGCTGCCCATCCTGAGATAGTGACTCTAGATGGCTCTTGACTTGAGTTTTTTGGGGGGGTGAGTGGGAAGTTGGGTGTTGAAAAGCAGGACTGCCTCTGATCAAATTACTTCCCATTTTCTAAACTCTTTATCTGGGTTTCTTGAAAGTCTGAGCTTCCCTTTGAAGTACACCCACGGATATACTTACGGCAGACACACCCCAAATGCCAACATAATTCATAATGCAGTCAGCGCAATCTTGACTCAGAATATTATATAGTTAAAGAATAATGTTTACTGATTTGAGTTCATACATTTAGTCTTATATGGGCACTCAATGGCCTGGCAAGCCGGCCCCTTCTCCAAATGAGTGATAACGGCTATTACCTGGCTGATTTAAGACCTCTTTTGGCACTGGAGGGGGCTGATCGGGTGCACCCCCCTGCCCTGAAACCACCAAACTATGGGATCCAGGGAGGATGAAGCCCCACTCAGCTCTCCACCTCTTCCTCATCTACCTTGCAAAGACGTTGTGCAGTTAAATCCAGAAAGTACTGCCAGCCTATGTGGTTTATGGTTAAGGCACCAGGCTAGAAAGCAGGAGACGGTGAGTTATAGTCCTGTCTTAGGCACAAAAGCCGGCTGGGTGACTTTGGGCCCATCACCAGGAGACGGGGAGTTCTAGTCCCGCCTTACATATGAAAGCCAGCTGGGTGACTTTGGGCCCATCACCAGGAGACGGTGAGTGACTTTGGGCCAATTGCCAGGAGACTGTGAGTTCTAGTCCTGCCTTAGGCATGAAAGCCGGCTGGGTGACTTTGGGCCAGTCCCCCTCTCTCTCCCCCCCTCTCTCAGTCCACCTCACCTCACAGGGTTGTCGTTGTGGGGAAAATAAGAAGGAAGAAGATGTGTGGGATATATTGGCCCCCTTGAGTTATTGGCAAAAATAATGAGGGCGAGAAACAAGACAAAACAAAACAAATAAATTAAACAAAGACAGCCCCGCCGCGCCAAGTTTAGCCTTGGGGATGATGTGAGTGGCTAATTTTAGAACTGCAGTTTCATGGCCTTTTGTGCGGCAGCCCAGCGAACACGCGTGGCCCGCCTCCCACGCCACAGACCCAGTTGGCCCAAACCGCGTTCTCTTGTCTTTGGGAGGGGGGGTGGGAGAAGCACCCCGCTTCCAACTTGTGACCCGGGTTCAAAGCAGCCCAGTCTCTTCCCGCAAGGGCCTCTGTTCATGGCAAGGCTAGGTTTTGCACCGGGGTGAGGCGTGGGAAGAGGGGTGCTTTTGCCCCCCCTCCACCACCCTCCCGGCTAAGAAAACGGGGTGGCTGCAAACTTAGGGTCCCCCGGGGGGGAGACGGACGGGAGGGGTGGCAATGTAATCAATCAATCAATCAATCAAAAGAAATCAAGGCACTCAGCCCGTGGGGTGGGAGGTGGGCAGGGCTGAGCTCTCGGCTTCTGAAAGCCAACCCTGCAAGGTGGGCTGGGGGGGTGGGTGTCTCCCCCAAGCAGAGCCCGGCCGTTGCGCATCCCAAGGACCCCACGGAGCCTGCCTGGGGGCGCAGAAGCCCCGGGACCCCCGCCCGCCTCACCATCTCCTTGCGCAGCACGGCCAGCGCGGCATCCAGGTTGGCGGGCCGGGGGCGGCGCGGGGGCGGCGGCGGCTTCTCCCCGGCGGGGGCGGCGGCGGCTGCCTGGGCGCGGCGCAGGTCGTCCTGGATGCGCGACTTCTTGCTGTAGACCTTCTGGATCTCGCGCCACGAGCCGCCGCTGGAGTTGAGGATGCCGCTCAGCCCCTTGGGCAGCGGGGGCAGCCCCTCCAGCGCGCAGGCCTGGCCGGCCGGGGGCTCCGCGGGCGAGGGCGGAGAGCCGCTCATGGGGGCACTCGGCCTACGCTCAGAGGCGCTCTCGGCCCCGCGGCTGCAGCGCCCGCTCGGCCACGCGCCGCCCTTTGTCTGCGGCGGCTGCTGCTGCGGCTGCTGCGCCCGGCTGTGCGCGCAAGGACGCGGCCGCTTAAAGGGGCCCCGCCGGGCGGAGCGGGAGGCAGCGCGGCCTCTGGCTCGGCGGGGCAGGAGCCGCTCGGCTCAGCCGGCCTCCGGGGAGCCCCACGCGCGATCCCCCCAGCCGTCCACCTTGCAAGTAGACAGACGGAGCTCTTTCCTTCCTTTCTCTCTCTCCCCTTTCCCAATTCTTTCCTTCCTTCCTTCCTTCTCTCTCCTTTTCTCCCATGTTTTTCCCTTCCTTCCATCCTTATCTCTTTCCTTCCTTTCACTTCCCTCCTTTCCTTCTCTCCCCTTTCCCAATTCTTTCCTTCTTTCTCTCCTTTTCTCCCCTTCCTTTCATCCTTATCTCTTTCCTTCCTTCCTTTCCCCTCCCAATTCTTTCCTTCTTTCTCTCTCTATCCTTTTCTCTCGTTTCCTTCCTTCCATCCTTATCTTTCCTTCCTTTCACTTCCCTCCTTCCTTCCTCTCTCCTTTCCCAATTCTTTCCTTCTTTCTATCTTTTCCCCATGTTTTTCCTTCTTTCCTTCCTTTCACTTCCCTCCTTCCTCTCCCCTTTCCCAATTCTTTCCTTCTATCATTTTCTCCCGTTTTCCCTTCCTTCCATCCTTATCCTTCCTTTCACTTCCCTCCTTCCTTCCTTTCTCCCTTCCCAATTCTTTCCTTCTCTATCCTTTTCTCCCATGTTTTCCCCTTCCTTCCATCCTTATCCTTCCTTCCTCTCCCCTTTCCCAATTCTTTCCTTCTCTTCTCCCATGTTTTTCCTTCCTTCCATCCTAATCTCTTCCCTTCCTTTCTTTCTCTCCCCTTTCCCAATTCTTTCCTTCTTTCTCTCCTTTTCTCCCATTTTTCCTTCCTTCCTTTCACTCCTACTTTCATCTTTTCCTTCGTTCCCTCCCTCCCTCTTTTCCTTCCTTCCTTATTTATCCTATTTCTTTTTAATTTGGGCACTGCACCGTTACACGATGCCGCCCATTGTTTAACTGTGTTGCTTTTGTGGCATCTCAGCAAGTGGTGCCAGCAGAGCTCAGATGCGGCCTGGCCAAGGGGCAAAATTATTTGCCTATTTTGGTCGGCTGCTGAAGGGGCAACGATGGATCAGGTCCAATCTCTGGTGGGCTCAAACTTGTGGACCCACTTTCTGGAAGGAGAAGCCACACGCTTTTCTTCCGTTTGGATGGAGGAAGAATCCGAAGAGCGGCCTCTGGGCAGACCAGAAACAGCCAGGAGAGCAGGAAAACTTGGGCATGCAGACCCTTTGAAGGACTCTTGATCAATGCCAGTCTTGACCAACCAGCTTAAAGCCCAATAAATAACAATTTAAAGATTATACTAAGAGGGGGCCTGAATAACATTTGCTCCCCCCTAGCCAGGAAATCCAGAACTGTTGCAGAACCACAATTTCAAGGTAGTCCATACGAGAAGCCAAGCCATTGTGGCCTTGCTCTGGGCTTGTTTTGGGGTGCAATGACAAGTCTGTCTGAACTGCACCCCCTTCCACAGCCACTTTCCATTTAGCTATCATTCGAGGCCACAAAAACGTGATGTGTTTGTTTCTCCCGCTCCACGCCTATCCGTGACTGCCAGCCAACTGATCCTCTTCTTTGCCGTCCAGGCTTGTGACCCAACACCACAAAAATGGAAGCACCCACACAACAGGTTTAACCTAGTTGGAGAAAGAACTAGCAAGTGCATTCATACAGTTGGCAACTTATTTTTTGAAGAAGGTTGGTCTTCTGGAGCTTATTACAGTTATGTAAGCCCAGGCAGAAGATAATCTACAGATTCCTGCACATAGGAATACTCCTACAGGTAGAATATGACTTATCACCAGTCACTTAGCTTTAAGTTACAAACCCCCCCCCAAAAAAGGGGACTTACAGTGCGGATTTGAATGGCCTCCAAGGGTCATGTGACTGCATTTTGAGCACTGGGTAGCTGGCTCGCATTTACAACCGTTTGCAGCATAATGTACATCATTTTGCTTCTGGAAAATTCACTTCTGGTTTCTTGGGAAAAAATCCCCATAGCAAAACAAAACAAGGTCCCAAAATTGAATGCAGTCACATAAGTGATCTGCTTTATGACTGTCCAGATTTATGAGCAAAATTGCAGGCTTAATTTCAGTTCTTAAGTCAAGGCTTAATTCAATCACCTCTGACCAATTTCAAGTGTCACAATTCCCATTCTTCCTCTTAAGTGTCCCTTGTCATCCAAGGTGGGCAAAAGTATTCCCCACTCAGGTGAACGAGGCATCCTCTGAGTTGCTTTCATTTTATTTACTAGAACGTCTAAGATGCCCAAGAGGAAAAAAACTGCCATTTTCTCAAGCTTATATCTTCCTTTTCACGTTATCGGTTATTAAAAGTGCCAAGATGGGTGGCCTCTGACACGCCAGACGGGCAAAACCGCGTGCCGCGATGGATTGCTTCACAACCAGCGAAGATTCGACACAACACAATCGTATCTTGTGCCTTGAAATTTGAAACGTTTAATGCTTCACAAAAAAAAACAACAACCAAAAACGCAATGCCGCATGGAGCTCCTGATAACTTGAAATCTTTGGATGGCAAGCGGGATGGTGAACGGATCTAGGCTGACGTGTCTGCAGGAGCCCCAAATTCAGAGCCTAAAATGTTGCTAGCCCCAACATCTCCCTTCCCCAAACCAGTTTAAACTCTTTATCTATCCTTTCCTTGCCCCGGATTAGATAGAGCTATACGTGCAAATCCTCTGAAACATTCCTCAAACGTCAGGACAACTTGTACGAGGCAAAAAAGCTCACATTTAATCAGAAAGGAGAGCCCAGTCTTATTTAAATTACCCAGCCCCTACGATAAATGGTGGGGAGATCCTCTGGCTCCCCAGGCGTGGCCTACACTCCATTCCAGGCCTGGCACTGCCGTTTCAAGCTGGGCCATCCTCACTGGGGCAGCTCCCTGATGCCCTTGAGAGCATCCGTGCAGGAACAGATCAGTGAACAGAGATGGATGCTCCTTTCAACGGAGGCTGTTTCTTGGAGTTGATGGCTTGCCCAGCCGATCTTCTGTAGAATGGCCTCTTCTGCTGCGACCAGGATGTTGCGCGTCAGCGGAGAATTAGGCGCAGCAGTGGGCGCTGGAAGGGCTGGGTCAGGGGCGCTTGACCGGAGACCCAAGGCTGCTCCTTCGCAGTGCTCTGGGCGTGAAGCCATTTCATCGGGGTTAGTAGCCAACTGACGCTCCCGCACCTGGGAAAGGGCTGCTTGTGCATTGAGGGCTAGAGAGAGAGAGACAGAAGATCAAAGAGATGAGATCACAGGGTGCTGCTTCTGGGTTCAGCGACAACGAGCACTGTCTGGGACAGTTGCTGAAGTCCAGGGATGTTTTTGTATGGCGCAGAAAAATCCGTTAAGACTCTCCAGCAGCAATTGAACACTGAGATTCTTCCAATTGCATGAAAGCTTTTCTGCAGCAGAAAAAAAAAAAGGGGGGGGGGGGTCCTCTTCCTGCCTTGCAAAGAGAGCTGCACAAATACAAGACTACTTCAGTTGCCAGAGCAGCACAAAATGTGCAGTTTTTATCGGAAGCAGCAATTGCACAAAACGTCCACCCAACAGCTCCTTTTGCATGTGAACTGCATTTCACAGTTTATAATTTACCGATGCAGCGGATTTAAGAGTTGGACGATCTCGTTTATGTTGCGAAACCCACCCAGGGCCGTTTCAATTTGGTGCTGCAGAAGCGTGGAACGGCTCCCATCGTCTCTTTTCGTTAACAGGGCAATATACTGAGAGGACTAGATTGCGCCAAGTGGGGCAGGTGATTAAGAATAACTGCTTCCTGCCCCCGCTTCCTCTGCCCACCGTACCTGGATTGTCCTTGTCCACATCAGAATTAAGCTCTTGGCAGGTGACACAGTAAAACTTCTTCTGCTTATCTTGCAGCAAAATGGTCTGGAAGGAAAAGTGACCAAGGCAAAGGGGATGGGAGGAGAAAAGGGTAGAAGTCAGAACTTGTTTGCCAAAGCTATGTGATGGGCATGAATGCCAGGAAGAGCAAGGAAAGCCCCCCCCCTTGCTGAAGAAACTGCTTTTTCATACTGGGCTTGCCCAACACATATGCCCAGCACATATTGTTCACTGCAGGCCTTGAATGACACCCCCGTCAACCAACTCCCAATCAATGCCATCCTGGAGAAGATGTCTATGGAGATTCTCAGTCATCCAGGTCATGATTTTTTCCAGAAGGCAACTAGACTTTCTTGTTTTTCTTTGAAGATGTTTCCCTTCTCATCCAAGAAGCTTCTTCAGCTCTGACTGGATGGTGGGGAATGGGAGGATTTATACTCCTTGCAGATTGCTGGTCATTTGCCTTCTTTTAGAGAGTCGTTGAGGCCACTTGGAGGTTTACCTGTGTCCTCAGGGTCGCCTGAGTGGTGCAAATGGCTGTGGAGCCTTCTTGGAACTGCTGAAAGGTCTGTGTTGTAGACTGGAGAGAGATGATGTTGTATACCTCCCCCTCTGTTGAGAGAGGGCTGTTCAATTTTGACCTAGATGGCCTCTTGGACCCCTCTTTCAAACCAGCGGTCCTCTCTGTCCAAAATGTGGACTTTGCTGTCTTCGAAAGAGCGGCCTTTGTATTTTAAATGCAGATGGACTCTTGTCCTGGTGGGTTTGTTCTCCTGTGTTGTGGCATGTGTTTATGAAACGCTCCACACCCATTTGCACCACTCAGGTGACCCTGAGGACACAGGTAAACCTCCAAGTGGCCTCAGCGACCCTCTAAAACAGTGTTTCTCAACCTTGACAATTTTAAGGCATGTGGACTTCATTGCTGGCTGTGGAATTGTCAAGGTTGAGAACCACTGCTCTAAAAGAAGGCAAATGACCAGCGGTCTGCAAGGAGTATAAATCCTTCCATTCCCCACCATCCAGTCAGAGCTGAAGAAGCTTCTTGGAGGAGAAGCGAAACGTTTTCAAAGAAAAACAAAGAAAGTCCAGTTGCCTCTTGAAAAAAAGCACCTTTGGGACATCCCGGAGAAGAGTTTAAGGAAACGCTCCATTCTTCAGCAATACCAAGGAGCTGGGCACAAGCTAGATTGGCATCTCCCTTATCCTGCTTGTTCTTTCTTCTGATCTTGTTTGATCACCGAGTTGCCCCCTTTTTTCCCAGCTTTTCTTCACTCTTCAGCCCACGGGGGGGGGAGGGAGGAGAAAGCCCCGCCCGGGCGCTCTGCACGCGCCCCGGGGCGGCCTCGCTCACCCCGCACTCCTCGCAGCACTCGCCCAGCATGCGGTAGCCCTTCAGCAGGTACTCGCTCATCAGCTTGCTGATCTTGTCCTGCCGCTCGCGCCGGGCCTGGATCACCTTCAGCTCGGCCTCGGAGGGCGGCTCCCACTCGGCGTGGTCGTCGTGTCCTGCGCCGGGAAGGAGGAAGCCGAGATGGGGGCGAGGCCCGGGCCGGGAGCCCGAGTCGCCCCGCTGCTCTTCCCCGCTGTCCATCGCCTCTGGCCGGGCCTCGGGCTCGTTGCCGGGCCGCAGGCCCATCGTCATGGCGACGCCTTTCCCCTCCCCACGTTACCTGCCGCGCTCAGCGCCATGATCGTTCCCCTCTGCCGCAACTTCCGGCGCTAGCCACGCCTCCTTCCGTCACCGCCCACCTCCTGCTGGGACTTTCCTACGTAAGAAGGAAAAAAAAAGAAGTCGCACGGTTTTCAATGTCCTCCGGGCAACTTCACCTATCCGCGCAAAGGTTCCGGGGAAAGTTTGTTCCCGGCTTCTTTACAATCGAAAGAATCGCGAGGTCTTTTTTAAAAAAAAAAACACACAAAAAATAAAGTTATGTTTCGACCAAATATTGGAATGCTGGCCGGCAACGTGGGACAGGACTCGGATTCTAATTTTCCTTAGTTATAGGAGCTGCCTGGAATTGGTCGCTTTTCCAACCATCAAGACTGTATTTAACGGCACGAACTTTCGTCGGATGCATTGGAGGGTTTAAACCGGGGTGTGTGTGTGTGTGTCTTCAAAGAATTCTGGGAGTTGAAGTCCACAAGTCCTAAAAGAGCCACGTTTAGGACTTGTGGACTTCAATTCCCAGAATTCTGGGAGTTGAAGTCCACAAGTCCTACGTTTGAAGAGCCCTGGTTTAAACCGATGCAGGATTTGAACAGACGACCAAGGAAAGCAGAGCGTGGGAGCGAGGGCGCAGATGCAAGTCGCACGCGGGAGGATTTAGGCACACCGCGTGGGCAATTGTAATGCGTCAAAAGCCTAGCTTTCAAGTCTTCCAAAGAGGGCTGGGATTGGCCATCTCTGGCGCTAAAATGCCCGCAGGGTTTTGTTTTTCTGAAACGACAACTCCGAAACCTGGAATTGTTGCAAAGTGTTCGTTGTGGAGAGGTTGTCCTCTGTCCCACGGTCATGGCTACCGCAGAACTGTCCCCTTTTCCAATCCTACATCGGTTTCAGTCTCAACCTTGGCGGCTTGAAGGCGGGTGGACTTCAACTCCCAGAATCCCCCAGCCAGCAAGGGGAATAGATTTTTTTTTTTTATTAAATGTGCATGCTGGGAAGGATGCCTCCAGACTCCTTGGGCCACCGCTGAGTGACACACAAGCCTTTAGAAAGCAGGGGATATAAATCTAACTAGCATAACCCAAGATCATCCTAGCCAGCAGGTTTGCCTGCTTATGATGTCCGGGTCCTATCAAGGCCTCTTGATTGGGGAAGATGCTTTGCACAGTTGCAAGGGTTTCAGCCCAGATCTGGGGGGCTGGGGGGGGGATCCTGGGAAACCAAGATGATGATAGGGACAGCCTCCAGGCTTTGGGGAGAAACATCCTTTCAATGATAGCTGAAAGTGTGCCAGAGTTAACTGGGTTGGATGACGAAAGAGGAGAGGAGGGGAGGGAGCCTCGCTTTTTGGGAATGGCTGTAAAATCCAAAGTTTTTATCAAAAGTTTTTAAGCGCTTTTCCTCTCGTGAAATGCAAGCTCGCCCATCCCCGGCTTTAGGGTCGTCAAAGGGGCGGCGGCGGCGGCGCCCACCGATCCTCGGACGCGGAAGGACGAAGCGGCACCCCTTGCTCCGAGGTGGACATTCTCCCGGGCGGGATCCCGAGACGAGCGCCGGGAGGGCGAGGGCTCTGCTAGGAGCGTCGGTCTTCTCGGGGTCTCCGCTTATCCCACCCTGCCCGGACGCTTCCCTCTCCGGCGGGTGCGAGGATGGGGTAGCCCTTTGCCGGGCGGGGGGTGGGTGGTGGTCCCAACGCTCGAGGTCGCCCCCTTCGGAATCGGGGTAGGGCGAAGGGCGGCCGCCGGCGGATCGCGAGCCCAAGGGGGAAGACGACGCTGCCCGGACCCCGCTTCCCTCCTCTGGCCTTTGGGCTCGTGGGCGAGGAAGGGCCGAGGGCAAAGCCTTCCGGCCCGCAGCTCGCCCGATTCGGGCTGAAAGGGGCTGGGTGGGCTCGTGATGCATCCCCAACTCGTTTCTTTCTGAAGCCAGTCCGTTTGCTAAACCAGGTTTCGAAAAGATCTTCGACCTAAACATGCAGGCTTAAGTAGCAAACCAGATTTTGGCAGCCCCAGCCTCTATTACAACTTACAACCGCTCATTTAGTATAATGATAATAAAGTTGGAAGGGACCTTGGAGGTCATCTAGTCCAACCCCCTGCTCAGGCAGGAAACCCTATCCCATTCCGGACAAATGGCTGTCCAGTCTCTTCTTAAAAAACTTCCATGATGGAGCAAAGTTACAAGGGCACTGAAAAAAGTGACTTAGCGCAATTTTTTTTCCCACATGACCGTTGTAGCATCCCCATGGTCAAACAAGTCAGAAGCTCGGCAACTGACTCGTATTTATGACGGTTGCAGTGTCCCGGGATCGTGTAAACCACCTTTTGCGACCTTCTGAGAAGCGAAGTTGATGGGGCAGCCAGAGTCGCTCCACAACGGTATTACTAAATTTAACAACTGCAGTGATTTACTTCACGGTGCCGAGAAAGGTCGTAAAATGAGACAAAGCTCACTTAACAACTGTCCCACTTAGCAACAGAAATTTTGGGGTTCAATTGTGGTTGTAAGTCGGGGACTAACTGTATTAGCACAGGGTTCAGTGGAGTTGTGAACCCAGAAAGAGAGTCTGAGGCAGGCATTTAGTTAGCTATCCCAAAAGTGGCCTGTGTATTTCTCTAAGGAACGCCACACCTGGGATGCTTGTATCCTAAGAGGAACTGAGACGCAATAGAGATATACACATGCACACTCTCAACAAAAGGTGAATTATTGTCTGAAAATTTCCCAAGACAAGGACAATCAGTCCGTGCCACCGTAAGCCACAGGCTTCATAGTTTTATAGCGCTGTAAGGAGACGAAAGGAAGTGCCTCCTTTCACCTAAAACCGACATTCCTGCTGGAATACCCAAACTGGCTAAAAAGGATATATTTTCCTACTTCTCACCTGCAGCTTTAGGCCTTATTCTTCTGAAGGATTCCCCCGCTGTCGAGCGATATGCCCAGGAATTCATGGACGAAGAATCTAAGCATCTTTGTGGATCAATGGTTAATTTTGTCCCTTTGAGCTCCATTTGGAAGGAATTGGGACTAATACGATGAGCAGCACTAAAACGGACTGATTTAACCACCAAGTTGTGGGTTGTTGAAATTAAAGCAAGTCACAAATGTGTTTCTGGCTAGTCAGCCTGTGCAACCAATGAGTGTTTTTTTTTAGACTTAGAGGCTAGACAGGTAGTCCTTGACTTACAACAGTTGATTTAGTTACAATGACGCTGAAAAAAATGACTTGGGACGGTTGCACCATCCCCACGGTCACGTGATCAAAATCCAGACATTTGGCAACTGATTCATATTTATGACGGTTGCAGCATCCTGGGGTCATGTGATTTACCTTTTCTGACAAGCAATGTCAATGGAGAAGCCAGACTCACTTAACCGTGTTACTAAACAACTACTGCGATTCACTTAATAACTGGTAAGGTCGTAAAACGGAGCAAAATTCACTTAAATGTCTTACTTAGAAACAGAAATTGGGGGCTCAATTGAGGTCGTAAGTCGAGGAGTGCCTGTACTCTCAAGTCTTGTGGACCAGGCAGAAATGGCCCAACCTCTCCTAACTCCCAGTAGCAAGTTAAAAAAAAGTTTGCATACTAGAAAAAAAAACCCCAGACACAATTAAATAGTTATTGACATTGACTGACTTTTAAGCAGGGATGAAATGACAGGATCCATATTACAATGCCATTAAGAATCCATGAAAAGTTTGCCAAGAAACAATACCGGCTAAGTTGAATGTTAACAAAAAAATAAAAATAAAAATCAAATTTAAAGTGCCAGGACCGAGTTCCTTATCCAAATCACCTTGCATTATTTGAATGTCGGGATGCCACAGTGCGTAATGGCTCTCCCACCTTTAAATGTAACATTTTATTGCTCAAATGTCACTTGTTGTCAAATGCAGAGTCTTTCATAATGGAGAAAGAACAACTGTGTTGAAAGGAAAATTAAGTTCTTTTAACTGGGAGTATTAAATCATCGCCAAGGCTTCTTATCTAAGTCAGTGTCCTTCAGGACTTCCTGACCCAAAATCCCACTTTATTTTCTTTTTCTATTGTAACAGGAACATTTCTTTAATCTTCAACAGAGTTTGGAATCCTGGGCTGACTCTTGTTGAGGCTGAATTAAGTGAAATTCATGGATGGGACCGACTACAAATCTATGGCCAACTGATTTTGACAAATGTGTACTGGAAACCCGGCTATTAAACCATGGCTAACTAAATAAGCCACGGTCTAGCACAAGGACCAAGCTTTGGTTTTGGGGAAAAAGCAACCACAGTGAGTTGCCAGGAATCACAACAGCTATTCCAGGCCTTCCAGGGTCACATCCACACACTTCTTTCTCCCTACATTGAGAACTCGCCTGCGTGGAGATCAAATGGGGCAGAAGGAAAATGGTGATTTGTTTCCATTTACACGCAATTACAGGCAGTCCTCAACTTACAACCGTTCGTTTAGTGAGCGCTCGAAGTTACAACGGCACTGAAGAAAGTAACTTAGGACCGTTTTTCACCTTAGGCCTGTTGCAACGTCCCCAGGGTCAGATGATCAAACTTCAGACGCTTGGCAACTGACTCGTATTTATGACGGTTGCAGGGTCCCGAAGCCACGGGATTCCCCCCTTGAACAAGCAAAGTCCCACGGGAAAGCTGGAGTCACTTAACACCTGTGCTACTAACTTAACAACTGCAGCGATTCGCTTCACGAATGTGGCAAGAAGTTGCGAAAGGGGGCAAAACTCACTTAACAAATGTCTCGCTTAGCTAACATAAATTTTGGGCTCCGCTGTGGTTGTAAGTCAAGGACTACCTGTACAGTATTGACAGAAGGCTTCGCAACTGCAATTTGTCTTTTAATGCCATAGGCCAGTGGTGGCGAACCTACGGCACGTGTGCCAGAGGCGGCACTCCAGAGCCCTCTCTGTGGGCACGTGTGACGTTGCCCCAGCCCCACCTCCCCCCCACGGCCCCCTCCTCACCAGCAGCCCCCCCGGAGGAGAGTCGCCCCCGAGCGTGGCCCGCATGGAGATGGCAGCCAGGCAGCGGAGACAAGACTCTGCCCTTGCACCCTGTCGCGTGCAGTTGATGCTGCGGGGCGTGGGTGGAGGGCATGGCCACCATGGCGCTGCTGGTCCACCTGGGCGATTTGTGTGGAGGTGGTGAGTGGCCCTGAGGGGGGTGGGGGGGGCAGACGGGGCAGTTTTGGGGCACTCGGTCTCTAAAAGGTTCGCCATCACTGCCATAGGTGCATCGAGTTCCTCACGCACGAAAGGGTAACTCCGGTTCTGTTAATGCTATAGTTTGGAGCAGGGATCTAAGGAATTCAAATGGGTTTGACACACCTGGTCTGCACCCACCCAGGCTGAATGCAGATTGCCCACTTCCCAGGACCCCTTGGCAGACTCAGTCCCCCACGGGACTGTTTTACAGCACTCGTCCCCAGACTAAGCCCCTGCCAGCGATTCTGGATCATTTGACGTCTTTACCCACAGCCCGTATGGGGAAAATGGCCGGGAATGATAGGAGCCACAGGATAAAAAAACCTCCAGTGGGACAAAACTGGTTTTATACACATACCAATGAAAGAAAAAGGGAAAAAAAAGGAGGAATGAATGGCTACTTGTGCGCACACACCGAAATCATAACACAAACCGGGTGGTCTAAAATGTCGGTGAGCCCGTTTTATTTACAGTAATACCAAAAAAGAAAAAAGGATCTAAACTCACTTCTAACATAAGGGTTACTCGCACAGCATAGACTGTCATAAATCAATGAAGGATGCCGTTACATAAAAAGCAACTGAGCTGATTTGAAAAGGTGATTCTCTCATCATTAAAATGAAGGTGACTAGGTGGAATTTTTTCTGTCTCTCATTGGTGCGATCTCGAGACAGGCCAGACCGAGGAAACTGAAGTGGACGTTGTTCTTTTGTGCCAAACAACCAGCCCGCACACCATACTTTGGTTTTAAGAGGTCCAGGGTGCACCAATGTACGAGGCTACTGAGGCTGAACAGAGTGCCCTTAACGGTAAGTTTAAGGGAATCACTCAAAAGATTTTTTTCCCCCAGAAAATCGTTCATCGTGGGGCAGCGTGTAGGACTCACCTAGCTGACTAAGGTAAATAGCGCACCCTTTACATGGCGTAAGGAAGAACAAAAAGAAAAAAGAAAAAAAGAAATGTTAAGAACTAAAGTGAGCTAGGGCACCCATGATCGAGAAATGTTCAGGTCTAAAAGGATATTCTGAAATCAAACTGCTCCCTAAGGACGCAGATGCTGGAATTATGCTCTACGGGTTACGACGGCGGAGGCCACGGCAACGAGAGTCCCACCCCAGAAGACGGGGAATTTCGCCTACAGACGGCGCTGGTAACTAGCATGCAGCTGCAGTTGTGCGTTACGCAAGTAATCGCCATAGGCACCTGCGTAACGGGCATCAGACTGCATTTCGGGAAGGCGGCGATAATCCAGTTGAGCCTTTGTTGGCGAGTGGCGGTACGCATGGGGGGAGTCGGATAAGCGGCGGAAATCAGAGAAGTCAGATAAACGGCGGTCATCTGAGAGATCAGAACTGTACCTGGTTAAAAGAAGAGACATTTGGTAAATTTAAAAAAATAAAAAAGAGGCTCACGGCAAACACCCCAATAAAATATACGCTGTGACAAGGGTACCCCTCCCCCCCCCAAATCTGGCAGAGGAGAGCAACGTTAAGTGTGAGCACAGACAGAAACCTTTTAGAAGAATTCAAAGGAGAATTTTTCCCCTCTGCTATCTTAGTTAGAATTGTGTCTTGGGAGTTATTTTGTGTCTTGGATGATACAGAGAAATCTCTCAGCGGCTTAGCTAAAGTATAGCTTAAAAAAGGCACTATGAAGCTCCTCCAGACTTGATGGGACTACAGTCCAGAAATTTCAATTCCAGGAAGGTGAGTTAAGAAGCCTAACTTGCATTAAGGTCAACTTTTGAACTGGTAGGAAAAGTTCCCTGTTAATAACCTGGCCAGGAAAACACTTTTGAAAGTTTGCTCAAGGATTCAGTTATGGTATCTCATGTTCCACATTCAAATCCTACCTGATTATATAACCACTTAAAATTTCAGGCTCCTGGGTGTTGAACGTGGCTCAAAATATAGGGCACGGTGAGCAGGGGATTCTCCCTCCCCCCCACAAGTTGACCGGAATCTAGAATATTAACCCTGGTCTCTTTGGATCAGGAAAGAATCAAATACAGCCCTTAAGTACCTTTGTACTTAAGCTGAGTTAAGGAGCCTTAAAGTGCCTAGCTTCACTTTCATGTGATGGGGTAGATCCATGTAGCAGAGCCAATGTACCTTCCACCAAGTTGCCCAGGTAATTTTGGGTAATTACAGTCTCTCTTCTTCTTATGTGAATGTATTTATAATATGCAGACTGGGAGAGAGGTAAAGTGTGAGTGTAACTATCTTTTCGCTCCCTTTCCCCTTCAAAGAGAAAAAGCACAGAAAAGGGCTGAAAGATCACAGCTGAGAGAAAGGAAAAATAAATAAATCGAAAGGCAGAACCAAGGAAGCAAACGGTTAGCAAGCTCCGTTCCCAACCCCTTCCCGTTTACGGGCACACCCCCAAATTCAAGGATGGGAAAGGAATCTGCCGCCTGATAGGAACCGCAGAACGAAGTCTCGGGTTCGAGTCCCTCTGAAGTACAGAGAGCTCCTTGGACAGAACGCGGGGCTGGTGCGCAAAGCATGATCAAAGCTGCATACCTCTTGTTCATTGCAGCTGCCTTCCTGTAGAGATCCTCACGGCTGCCACGCGGTGGGGAGAGACGTGTCCGTTCGTACAGTGGGTGGAGAGCGGCCGTTTCTGCCTGGGACATTCCCGCGTAGGAAGCTGCCTGCTGCCCGGTCTGGGCCAGCCCATTGTACGCCGAAGCCTGAGACCTATACCCTGCTGCTACGGGGGCCGAAGCAGACTGCTGGACTGCATAGGCTGCGGGCAACGAAGCAGACAGCTGCGTTTTGTAAGCGGCGGCCGCCGCCGCAGCATCCTGCATGCTATAGGCCGCTGCCAGGTTGGCTGCAGACTGGGTCCCGTAAGCAGACGACGCCTGAGCCCCGTAGGAAGCAGCGTGGCCAACGGCGGGCTGGACTCCGTAGGAAGCAGGCTGGGCCGAGAGAGAGTGAGCTGCGTACAAGGCGGACTGGCCGGCTGCCGCCTGGGCCCCGTAAGAGGCGGAGAGGGCAGTTGCTTGGGCCCCGTAGGAAGCGGCGTAGGAGGCAGCGGTCTGGGCCCCGTAAGCAGCAGCGTACGTTGTGGAGGGCTGGGCTTCGTAAGTGGCGACTTGGGAAGCAGCGGCCTGGGTTCCATAGGCTTGAGCATTGTAGGATGTTAACGCCGCGGCGGCCGCTGCTGTCTGAGAATTGGAAGGTCCCATGGCAACAGAGGACTGGGCTCTGTATGCATTGGCCAGCATAGTCGAGGGCTGGGCTCTGTACATGGCTGCTTGCCCAGTGGTAGGCTGAGGCCTATAGGCCATCCCAAGGGATGCTGCAGGCTGATCTCTGTAGGAAGCCTGCTGGCCAGTCATGGGAAGCGCGTAGCCTGCTCTTGTGGGTGAGCGTCTTAGCGGGCTCCGGTCCCTTCTGAAGAAAGACGGGGAGATCTGCCTGGCTTGGCCGTTCGAGTCGAATTTGGTTAAGTTGTTATTATTCATCCGCTGCTGATAATCGTAGTCAGCGGAAGAATAAGCCGGATTGGCCATTGGGAAGGCAAGGTTCCCGGATCTCACGCCGTCGTTCCTGGTCTGCATGTTCTCTAAGGTTGGGATTTTGTTCTTGTCATCTCCGCCAAACTGGCCGATATAGCCTGCAATCCCCCTCTTGTGAGCTTTGTTGGAAAGTTCCACATTGATCCTTTTGCCTTTGATTTCTCTCCCGTTCAGGTGTTCAATGGCGGTCTGAGCATCCTCGTCTTTCTCCATGTGCACGAACGCGTAGTCTGATAAAGCAGCAGACAGAAGGTTATCAATAAGGAACACATGACATTTCATTACTGGAAACCATTCCTATTGGGAGATGCCTTGGATACAGAGAAAGGCTTTTTAACCCACCGTGCATCCACTGGGAAGCAGTCTCTGCCCGCGACAGCGGGCAGCTTTGCCATTCTAACAGCTACGAGGAACAACAAAGAGGCCACTGGCTTCTAGCAAGGCACAAGATACTGAACGCTGCTTTAAACCTCTTCCACCTTAGCACCGGGGTTCCCCTCTCGCCCACTAACGCCTCTAGTATCTGAAGGATCTGCTTAGCTGATTTCACAAAAAGGAGGATTAATTCCCAGGAGATCACCGTGCAGAAGACAGAACAGGTTTGATTATTATTATTATTATTATTATTTTACTCCAGAGGGCAAAACTAGAACTGGGCTCAGGCAAACATTAGGAGACACTTCCCATGAGAGCTTAGTTTAGAAGTAGAACAGGCTGCCTCTTGCTCTCTGGAAGACCTTTAGACAGAGGTTGCGTAAGCCAAGCATCAGAGACTGCACTGAACGGGGAATGGGATTAAGTAATCTCACGGGTGTTTTCCCAAACAGTTATCTCCATGGTGCTGTATCTTTTTCACTTCACCATATTAATCCTGAATAAAAGACTATGAATGCTATCAGTATGTTATCTCCAGCCCAAAATGGAGAACACTCAGAACACAGAATAGGGTTGGAAGAGAGTTGCTTCTGAACCTAAATGCACGGGAAAATGTCCAAAGCACAATGTAACTGTAACAGCTTTTAATACTAGGTTGGGACTTTGTTTTTTTTAGAAACACTTTAAAAATAGTGCGCTTAGTATTGTGCTAAAAAAAGCTTAAAAATGAAATGATCTTCTAAGGTAAAACCGGTGGCCTAATTGGGACAACGCATAGTAAATTTATACTTTTATATGGCTTTAATCAGTAGAATAATACACAGCTTTGATGAAAATGAATTTCACTTAATAGAAGTTGTGAGATGATGGTTATCTTTCTACAGTGCCTCTCTCCCACTAAAGGATATGCAGATTAAGGACCTAGAACACATACAAGCATCTCCTACACTTCACATTAGGTGCAGAACACATGTTAAGACTTTTCCCTTCTGAATTCACATTGGTGATTATAGAGTGAAGATTGTCAAAACTCTCAGGAACAAGTTATCAACATTTCTTTCTGCTTCTCCAAGTTAGCGCAAACCAGAAACCAACTAGCAGTGGGAACTGATGGCTTTCAACTCTGAACATTTTTTATTAAACAAAATACCCAACTATCCATTAATCAGAAATTATGGGGAATAAAGGTATAAATTAGGGTTACAATTCTTGGGTAGCAACAAGCAACTTTGTTGGGGAATAGCATGATGGCCACAGATGGCTATAAATCCTATGTCTGCAATACTAAGAACCATCTGATAGGAGCTGTAAAGGCAGTTGCCTCTGATCATTGTTCTGTACTATGTGCTATGTCACATCTGCTGAATTATTTTATACTTGGGTTGGTTCACTGATGAATCATGCTGGATTTCCCAAAACTATAATTTCCCTCTTTTTCTACAAGAGAAAATCAATCCAAACCTAACGGTAGAGAATTTCTGAAATAAGGACTAAGCCAGACTGGGCCAAAGTTGGATAATGTTGCAAACAATCGCCAAATTCCAATTCTGTTTAAACAAAATAGAACTACGGGACAGAAATCAGACCAAAAATGTGGAACTATTTTAGTAAACCCTGAACCTGGGGACACAGATTACTCTCCTTATTAAGAAATAATAAAAGGGCTCTAATCACATGGTTGATAACTAGGAATAGTGGAGGTTTTCATGGTTCAATGTTCCAAGATAAAAGCTCCTTTCCCCTTGGAAACTGAAGACTACTAATGTTCTTATTCTTTAGCCTCCAGGAAAAACTTGCCTGAGTAACTAGACCTATTGGTTGTTGCCACTGGAAAAGCCACAGGAATCCAATAGCCACAGGATAAGGCACGCCCCATGTTCAAAAAGTCATAGAGTCACAGGGCTGGAAGGGACCTTGGAGGTCTTCTATCAACGACTACTAGCATAGACTATCAATCCATGCTTTCATAGCCTCCCATTCGGACTACTTGCACTGCAAGTAGGAAAAGCAATATCACAAAAATGATAAGATTTTTTACTAGGCACAAAGTTTTGCTCTTCCTTTTGGCCACAGGTACAAAAACGTCTAGACCCCCATCTCCCAACCACCCAACCTCTTTGAAGTCTTTTGACTTACAACCTTTTGTTTAGCAACCATTTCAAAGTTACGACGGCGCTGAAAAGTTACTTGTGACTGGCCCTTGCACTTCTGCCCGTTGTAGTATCCCATGTGATTTTGCTTGGTGCTTGGCAATCAGCATGTATTTACAAGGGTTGCAGCGTCCCCGGGGTCCCGTGATTGCCATTTGTGAGCTTTTGACAAGCAAAGTCAATGGAGACATCGGGTTTCACTCAAAAACCACGTTAATTCACTTAAAAACTGCAGTGATTCGCAACAGTGGCAAAAAAAAGATGGAAAAAAAGATGTATGGACTACAGTAGTATATCCAACCTCTACAATGGGATTCTTGGAAGAACCAAACAGAATAAATATTTCTCTGGCTCCGAGATGGAGGGGGGAGAACAAAGCTCCAAATACATCAAATACATCTGGATGGGGAGAAATAGACTCAGGCTCAACCCTTCCAAGACTGAGTGGTTGTGGCTGCCGGCTCCCAGGTATGGTCAGCTGATTCCATCGCTGACTATAGGGGGCGAAACCCTGGCCCCCTCGGAGAGGGTTCGCAACTTGGGGGTCCTCCTGGACCCACGGCTGACACTGGACGACCAGTTGGCGGCTGTGGCCAGGGGGGCATTTTACCGGGNTTCCCAAACAGTTATCTCCATGGTGCTGTATCTTTTTCACTTCACCATATTAATCCTGAATAAAAGACTATGAATGCTATCAGTATGTTATCTCCAGCCCAAAATGGAGAACACTCAGAACACAGAATAGGGTTGGAAGAGAGTTGCTTCTGAACCTAAATGCACGGGAAAATGTCCAAAGCACAATGTAACTGTAACAACTTTTAATACTAGGTTGGGACTTTGTTTTTTTTAGAAACACTTTAAAAATAGTGCGCTTAGTATTGTGCTAAAAAAAGCTTAAAAATGAAATGATCTTCTAAGGTAAAACCGGTGGCCTAATTGGGACAACGCATAGTAAATTTATACTTTTATATGGCTTTAATCAGTAGAATAATACACAGCTTTGATGAAAATGAATTTCACTTAATAGAAGTTGTGAGATGGTGGTTATCTTTCTACAGTGCCTCTCTCCCACTAAAGGATATGCAGATTAAGGACCTAGAACACATACAAGCATCTCCTACACTTCACATCAGCTGCAAAACATACGTTAAGAATTTTCCCTTCTGAATTCACATTGGTGGTTATATAGAGTCAAGATTGTCAAAACTCTCAGGAAGAAGTTATCAACATTTATTTCTGCATCTCCAAGTTAGCACAAACCAGAAACCAACTAGTAGTGGGAGACTGATGGCTTTCAACTCTGAACATTTTTTTATTAAACAAAATACCCAACTATCCATTAATCAGAAACTATGGGGGGAAAAGGTATAAATTAGGGTTACAATTCTTGGGTAGCAACAAGCAACTTTGTTGGGGAATAGCATGATGGCCACAGACAGCTATAAAACCTATGTCTGCAATACTAAGAACCATCTGATAGGAGCTGTAAAGGCAGTTGCCTCTGATCATTGTTCTGTACTATGTGCTATGTCACATCTGCTGAATTATTTTATACTTGGGTTGGTTCACTGATGAATCATGCTGGATTTCCCAAAACTATAATTTCCCTCTTTTTCTACAAGAGAAAATCAATCCAAACCTAACGGTAGAGAATTTCTGAAATAAGGACTAAGCCAGACTGGGCCAAAGCTGGATAATGTTGCAAACAATCGCCAAATTTCAATTCTGTTTAAACAAAATAGAACTACGGGACAGAAATCAGACCAAAAATGTGGAACTATTTTAGTAAACCCTGAACCTGGGGACACAGATTACTCTCCTTATTAAGAAATAATAAAAGGGCTCTAATCACATGGTTGATAACTAGGAATAGTGGAGGTTTTCATGGTTCAATGTTCCAAGATAAAAGCTCCTTTCCCCTTGGAAACTGAAGACTACTAATGTTCTTATTCTTTAGCCTCCAGGAAAAACTTGCCTGAGTAAGTAGACCTATTGGTTGTTGCCACTGGAAAAGCCACAGGAATCCAATAGCCACAGGATAAGGCACGCCCCATGTTCAAAAAGTCATAGAGTCACAGGGCTGGAAGGGACCTTGGAGGTCTTCTATCAACGACTACTAGCATAGACTATCAATCCATGCTTTCATAGCCTCCCATTCGGACTACTTGCACTGCAAGTAGGAAAAGCAATATCACAAAAATGATAAGATTTTTTACTAGGCACAAAGTTTTGCTCTTCCTTTTGGCCACAGGTACAAAAACGTCTAGGCTCAACCTCTCCCAACCACCCAACCTCTTTGAAGTCTTTTGACTTACAACCTTTTGTTTAGCAACCATTTCAAAGTTACGACGGCGCTGAAAAGTTACTTGTGACTGGCCCTTGCACTTCTGCCCGTTGTAGTATCCCATGTGATTTTGCTTGGTGCTTGGCAATCAGCATGTATTTACAAGGGTTGCAGCGTCCCCGGGGTCCCGTGATTGCCATTTGTGAGCTTTTGACAAGCAAAGTCAATGGAGACATCGGGTTTCACTCAAAAACCACGTTAATTCACTTAAAAACTGCAGTGATTCGCAACAGTGGCAAAAAAAAAGATGGGAAAAAAGATGTATGCACTACAGTAGTATATCCAACCTCTACAATGGGATTCTTGGAAGAACCAAACAGAATAAATATTTGTCTGGCTCCGAGATGGAGGGGGAGAACAAAAGCTCCAAATACATCAAGCCACTACACACCACCACGTTCCCGTTCTTAATATTTTGCTGATATGCCCCCCCCCCCAAGGCAAGGAGGAGCAGAGAGATTCACAGTCCCTTCCTCCCCCAACCTTCTGGATATCGCAGCCATCCGTAACAGAAGTACACCGTGATTAAAGCACCAGACTAGAAACGAGGAAATGATGAGTTCGAGTCCCGCCACCTGGGAGACTTTGGGCCAGTATTTCTCTCTCAGCCCAACCCACCGTACAAGGTTGTCGTGGTAGGGAAAATGAGGAGAAGAAAGGTATGTTAGATATGTTCGCCTTGAGTGATTTGTCAAAATAACAAAGGCAGGATACAAATAAAAACGATCTGGCCAAGACTGGAGGCCTTATCTCTCCCCACCCCACACCCAGCAAGGAATTCAGACTAATAAAACGGGCACCAGTTGACGGAAGATGGGCCTATCGGTCCCTACTGAGCCGTGCCCGCTCTTGGCCGAAATGCCTGTTTGCCCACCGCGAGGGCACCCATAGGAAGAGAAGGTCCACAGCGCTGCGCTCCATCGTTGGCACCGCTTGGCGACACCGGGGTCCGATCCCACCCACCCGCCCCCTTAAAAGCACCTCCTCCCTCCCCAGCCTGCCCTTTCCGTAGTGTGTGGCGGCGCCCGAGCCAAAGGGATAAAGGGCGGCCTGTCGCTCGTCTTTGCAAACCGCCGCCCGGCGGGTACGTTCGGTCAGCGGGTCGGAGCTGTTGCAAGAACTAATGAACAGATGAAAAGGGGAAACAGAGCAATGAGCATTCAAATCACAAAAAAAAGCCCACCCTGGAATCCCACCCTGTCCTCCGCTATAGGTAGTCCTCGACTTACAACTGTCCGTTTAGTGACCATTACAACGGCACTGGAAAAAAAAAAGCAACTTGTGATGGGTTTTTGCACACCCTCGCAGCCCCCCCCCAGGCCACCTGATCCAAATTCACACATTTGGCCCCTGACTCGAGTTAGGACGGTTTGCAGCGTCCTCCGGGAGGCCAGGTGGTCTCATTTAGTGACCGTTCCAAGTTACAACGCACTGAAAAACTTGCGATGGGTTTTTTTCACCCTCGCAGCCTCCCCGCAAAGCCAAAATTCACACATTTGGCCCCTGACTCGAGTTAGGACGGTTTGCAGCGTCCTCGGGGGGGGGGGAGGCCAGGCGGTCTCGTTTAGTGACCGTTCCAAGTTACAACGGCACTGAAAAGCTTGCGATGGGTTTTTTTTTCCCACTCTCGCAGCACCCCCCCCCAAGGCCACGTGATCTAAATTCAAACATTTGGGCCCCTGGCTCGAGTTAGGACGGTGGCCTTGTCCCCGGGGAGGTCACGTGACCCTCCGTTTGCCACCTTCCTACAAGCAAACCGCAACGGGGATGCCGGATTCGCTTAACCGCCGCGTCCCTGCGGCGATTCGCTTAACGACCGTGGCAAGAATGGTCGGAAAACGGGGCGAAAAATCACGCCACTGTGAATTCCGCTCAGCAGTGGAAATTTGGAGCGGGCGGGCGGGAGGGCGGGGGCTCTCCCCGGGGGTCGTAAGTCGAGGACTACCCGCCACCGGCGGAGCCGAGCGCGGGATCAGAGCCTCCCCCGTCCAGAGGCAGCCTATCTGGGGCGAACGGAAGGCGCCTTTCCCCCCCTCTCTCGGGCCCCTACGCGCTACCTTTCACGATGTCGCACTCGATGACGGGCCCGAACTCCTGGAAGAGGACGCGGAGCTCGCCGCTGGTGCAGGCGGCCGAGACGTTGCCGACGAAGATCTTGACGGTGTGGGTGGGCCTCGGGCGGGAGAACTCGACCACCACGCGGTGGCAGTGCAGGAGGTGCCCGTTGAGCTTCTGGATGGCGCGCTCGGCCGCCGCCTCGTCGCGCAGGTGGACGAAGGCGAACTGCTTCATGAGGGCCACCCTCACCACGTCGCCCGGCACGGCCGCCTCGAAGAGGTCGCGCAGCTCCACCTGCGACGCCTCCTCGGGCACGTTGCCCACGAACACCTTCACGCCCGGCTGCATCGGATCCGGCCGTCCCGAGGAGAACCGGAGAAAAGGAAAGAAGGGAGACGACGCGGCCCCACAAAATGGCGCCCGCGAGAGCGACGCGGTTTCTGAGGGGGGGGGGAGAAAGAGTGTGGAACGCGTCGACGCGCCTGCGCGAAGCCCGGACACGCCCCCTCTGGCTCTGTCTGCGCGCGAGCTCTCGCCCGGCTCGAGACAGGCTGTTCCGGAGCATGCGCAGCAGCCTCGCTGGGATGAGGCGTTTTCCTACAAAAAATACAGCGAGCTGCGGAAAGGCCTGCGGCCCTCAACACGAAAGGAGGGTGGGTTCCCCGCGGAGATTGGGGTTCCCTAGAAGGGGAGTGAAGACCAAAGGAGGGTGGATTCCCCGCGGATATTGGGGTTCCTTAAAGCGAAATGAAGAGCCTTCAAGTTGCGCCGCTCTTGGGGAATAGCTCTATGTGACGGCGCGCTGAAACTCAACGCCTCTTTCGCGAGGTCTCTCACTGCGCTTGCGCAGCTGAGCGCCTCCCCTCCCGACTGCCATAGATATAAAAAGTTAGAAGTTTGCTTTTAGAAGTTTGCTTTTATATGTAGGTGGGACTTTTGAGAATTTCTTCCCCCTCTTATGGGTTGGAAGTGACAGCTGCATAAATCATGGCAACAAATTCGAATTGGGGATTAGACCAGTGTTTCTCCACCTTGACAATTTTAAGGCAGGTGGACTTCAACTCCCAGAATTCCACAGCCAGCATTGCTGGCTGTGGAATTCTGGGAGTTGAAGTCCACCTGCCTCAAAATGGTCAAGGTGGAGAAACACTGGATTAGACACTAGCAGCTCCTCTCTGATGCACCTTATAATTTATGAAGGGAAGTCCTGCAACAGAAAAGTTGCAGTATAAACTGCATTTCCTGAACCTTTCTGGTTTACCCTACAGCTGCCTATCCGAAAAGACCTTTGTTTTTCAAAATTGGCAACTTTACTGATATGTGGACTTCTGGGAGTTGAAGTCCAGGCCTCTTAAAGTGGCGACGTTTGAAGACACGTAGCTAGCTTTTAAAAAATCACGCACAAAACAGATAGCATCCCCACGGAATTTCAGAAACCGATATATCACAAAAAAAGAAGAGATCCATCTTGCCTGTAAGGAATGCATTAAAAGCCAGAAGAGATACAGCAGCTGGTAAGAAGAATACAATTTAATGGCTGGCTTAAGTTAGTAACTTGGCTGTTAAGTGAGTCTGGCTTCCTCGCTGACTTTGCTGGTCAGGAGGTCCCAACAGGGGATCACGTAACCCTCCCCCCACCCGGGAAGCTGCGACCGTCATAAATACGAATCGGCTGCCAAGCGTCCGAATTTTAATCACGTGACCATTGGGATGCTGCAACGGCCAGAACTCTCTTTTTTTCAGTGCCGTTGTAACTTTGAACGGTCATTAAATGTACTGTTTTAAGTCCAGGATTACCTCTGCTAACAATTTTTGGCATTGTAGCAACCCTAGTAGGCATCTCAATATATTCTTCTTAAGCTAAAGAACTATGATGCTGGAGAAGACTCCTGTGAGTCCCCTGGACTGCAAGGCGATCCAACCGGTCGGTCCTGGAGGAGATCAACCCTGACTGTTCTTTAGAAGGCCAGATCCTGAAGTTGAAACTCAAGTCCTTTGGCCACCTAATGAGAAGGAAGGACTCCCTGGAGAAGAGCCTGATGCTGGGAAAGATGGAGGGCAAGAGAAGAAGGGGACGACAGAGGATGAGGTGGCTGGATGGAGTCCCTGAAGCAGCAGGCGTGAGCTTCAATGGACTCCAGAAGATGTTAGAGGACAGGAAGACCTGGAGGAACGTTGTCCATGGGGTCGCGATGGGTCGGACACGACTTCACAACTAACAACAACAACAAAGCTAAAGACAGCAGGACAAACAATGCCGCGTCATATTGCCCTAGCCCAGCCCAGGGGTAGGGAACCTTGGCTCTTTTATGACTTGTGGACTTCAACTCCCAGAATTCCTGAGCCAGCATAGCTGTTGACCCGGAATTAGAGGACAGCATAGGAAGTACCAATTTTGAATATGTGCAGATGGCCCTGCTGTCTTTGGGCCCTTGCAGAGTCCTGGATGCAGGGTCACGAAAGGACAGCAAGGAAAACACCCCATGTCCGAACCCACCTGGGAACGTACGATGTCTTTAGGGAAAACACCCAAAAGGGAACATTTTTAGCTACTTCTGCTTTCTCCCTTCTTATCTACGGTGTGCCAAACTTACTGGGTTAAATGTTGATCTGATGTGTGTGTCAGCTTTGCTGGGTGGATGGCTTATGTAATCAGAAAGAATAAATACCAGGATTTCTTGTCCTTCAGGGTTTCTCTCTTTTAGAGGAGCCCGTCTTTGTTCAGCTGAATAAAAACATGAAGCTTAAAGGCAACTTCTGATTTACTGTATTTTTTTTATCAAGCAAAACCTCAGACCCTGCACAGCAGTTCCCTACCCCTGCCGTAGCCTAACAGAGAAAGTTCCCCTCTGCCTTTTAAACTACCCACCACAAACTCATCAGGGCAAGCCTCATCCATTGCTGCAGACACGATCTGTTCCTTTTCTTCCTTCCATGCCCGCAGAGAAGGGGAAAGAGATTGTTCCCTCAATCCTAAGATAGGAGGAGGAGGAGGAGAAGGAAGGAGAAGGAAGAAGGAAGAAGGAAGAAGGGAGGAGCAGGAGCAGGAG